TACAGAAATTGTGGTATTTTTACACAATGGAATACTACTCAGCAATCAAAAAGGAGGAAATCATGAAATTTGCAGGCAAATGGTGGGATCTAGAAAAGATCATTCTGAGTGAAGTATCCCAGAAGGAGAAAGACAAACTTGGTATATACTCGCTTATATAGACCTACAAGACATGATAAACATAATGAAATCTACACACCTAAAGAAGATAATCAAGAAAGTGGACACAGGCGAAGGTGATTAATCCTCATTTAGAAAGACAAATGGGATGTGCATTGAACTTATGACAGGAGTCTACCACAAAAGGCATCTGAAAGACTCTACCTAGCAGTGTTTCAAAGCAGACACTAAGACTCATAACCAAACCCTCGGCAGAGTGCAGGGAATCATATGAAAGAAGGGAAGTTAGTATGATATGGAAAGGATAGGAGCTCTACAAGGACCAAATATATCTGGGCACAGGGTCTTTTCTGAGACTGAAACTCAACCAAGGACCATCTATGGATATAACCTAGAACTTCTGCTCGGATGTGGCCTGTGGTAGCTCAGTAACCAAGTAGTTTTCCAAAGTAAGGGGAACACGGACTATTTCTAACAGGATCTCAAGGGCAGGCTGTTTGACACCCCCCCCCCCCGGGGGAGGAGCAGTCTGTTAGGCCACAGAGGAGGACTTTGCAGCCAGCCCTGAAGATACCTGATAAAACAGGGTCAGATGAAAGGGGAGGAGGTCCTCCCCTATCAGTGGACTTGGAAAGGGGCAGGGAGGAGACCAGGGAGGGAGTGTGGGGTTGGGGACGGAATGAGGGAGCGGGATACAGCTGGGACACAGAGTTAATAAAATGTAACTAAAAAGAAAAATAAAATTAAAAAAAAATAAAGGTCTGTCCTCTAGACTTCTGGCTATAAGAAACAATTTGGACCTTCTGATAAACTATTAGCCAAGCAGAGAAGTCTATCTGAATGAAGACTAGCATCACATTTTATTAATAACAACAGCAAAACCCAGTACCATACAGACAAAATCTTAATTCAGTGGCAAATCTTGTACATATGGATACATGTAGCTCTGGGGCCAGTTTTGAACATGGAACATTAGGTATCATGTTCACAACCATCAAACAAAACATAATTCACAGTCCTTTGATAAAGCTTACATTTTTTTTTCAGTGTAATACGAGATCATATTTAACATCTGTGACAAAAAGGTGTACTTTTAAATCTAATTCTCATCCTAACTATGGAGGAAGGCCGCCTTCAGGACTAGGAAGGGGATTATGAACCTCTTAAAATGACTTTCGTTTCTCTGTTTCAAAAAAGAGACCTATGTTGTATTTGTGGTACACAATCTCACATATGGTGTTTCTCAACTCCCATTACATGTCTAAGCACATCTGTACTGGAAATCATTTTAATACACAAACTATAACTTAAAAGGGTTGATATCATCAGGATAGATTAACAGTTTTGTGTTTTTTTTTTTTTTTTTCAGAAGTAGAAAGGGGTAAAATGCCAGCTTAGGAGGTTTTCAACATTCAATATTTCAATGTTAACAATCTGAATATTGTTAGAATTCTTGCCAATTCTGCTATTTAAATAATTTTAGGGTATGTCAGGACTGAGTTAGTAAGTTAACACACACAGGTGTAGCATATCAGTGCTGAGAATCCTCACTATAGTTTTATTTGAATCAAGGCAACTCCTTATGTACTGGAGAATATCCAAGATATCCCTGAAACTTTTTAAGTTAAAAATGCTTCTGAATTACAAGATAAAGCAGGGCAGAAAATCTAGATCGCAAGCTTTCACAGCAGCACCCAGAGGTCCGCATTTAGGATACAGCCAGTATAATAGACTCGGGTTGGCTGGCATGTGCTGGCAATCTTTTAATTCTTCTTAAATAATAAAATGGTTTACATTTTTTTAAAAAAGAAAGTGCTTTGTGGTTGAAACCTTCGGATTTTTTTTCTTTTGAATATTGACAGTTTCTCAAATGGGAAAGAGAAGAGATAGGCACCCTTCTGGACCAACAAAACACCTAAGATGGAAAACTGAGTCTGAATATATATAATCATTCAATTTGATATCTGTTATAAAACCTCATAATTAAAACAAGTGATGTTTTCACATAGAGCCCTAATTTCATTTCTGTATTTGACTGTATCATAAATAACAATAGAGAAAATTTAATGTGTCCTTTGGTACTTGGAAGAAAATGGCATGCTAATATTTAACCATGTTGAAGACACAGGTAAGCTTGGAGACGTAATTGATCAGACAGCCATAATCCACATTTTAAAAAAAAGGGTACATTCCTCAAATCAGAACAGAATGTTACTGACAAACACCTGTTCATGTCTAGATACAGTCCAGAAAATACAGTGTCTATTGTAGTTTGTCTCACATGGAACTAGTCAGTGAGGATATCTAGGGTATATTTTAGCCACTATTTTACTCTACATGTCTGTGGAATGACAAAAAAAAGACACGATATCAAGTGGTTTATTTCTTAAATGATTAAGTATTTTGCATTAAAAGCAAGAAAAACAGAACCCAGAAATTATTCCTCATAAACATTTCACCTTTTTAAAATAGGCACACACAAGGTTTATTCTATCAACTAACATGAATTAGTCTAACAAACAGGATGCAACTTGATCTCATTGAAATTAACTAGGTGATTCTTTGGATTGTTATCACTTTACAAAGACTGATATTAAACTGAGGAGGGTTAAATCAAGTGCACTTAAATGGCCTAAGACACAGGCTATCATTCATCCACATTTTCATTTTGATGGTGATGGTGCTACAAATGATCAAGCAGGAAGCCTGAGGATGAAAAACTTCAAAATCGTGGAAGCAGTTTAAACTTGTGCAACATGAAGTAGAGAAGAGCCACAGAAGTGGAAAACCCAGTGATCTTTAGCAGGCCAGGAACAGAAGGCAGGTTCCTCTCCAGAAAAGTGTGGGTAATTTCAAATGCTGGAACATCCTAGATAGATGAACATAGATCATTAATAGAAACTCTGGTTGTCGCTAGAAAAGACAAAACCTATCTGCAATAGTGTGCATTCATCTCCCAAGACATTTCCATCTACAGTAAAAGCAGAGGCTGAATGAAGGACAGTGCAATTTTTATGTGCTATGTAGTTGGTTTATAAAAATGGAGTAGCCAAACTTACCATGGACACAGGCTCTTGAACCCATATGTCTTTCTTGGCCACTTTTCCTAGAGCATTCAAGACCTGAAAGAAAAGTGTCGTATTATAATGTGATATTAAATAATTTTGATAGATTCAAAGTCCTATTAAAGACAGATGAACCCATAGGTGGGTAACAGAGAAATGAATACATAGGCTAGCAGTGTCAAGAAATAGATGAATGGATAAAGAAAATTTATTATTCCCAAAAATACAACACTATTCAGCTTTAAATAGGAATTAAATCCTGTCAATATGACAACATGGCTAAGCTTAGAGGACAATACAGACATAAATGAAATCTGCCATGCATAGAAAGACAAATAACATATGCCATAAAATAACATATGTTGTCCTTTATAGGCAGAAGCCAAATAAGTGAATGTTGTAAGACTACAGAAAATAACAGGCTATCAGAAGCTAAGAAAGGTACCATAGAGTAAGGCTACTGAGACTGGATAATAGGTACTAAAATATAATTCAATGAGAGGTATAAATCCTAGCATTACATAACAATATACATATTTAAAAATACATATTTAAAACCACAATTTACTATATACTTCCAAAGAACTGGAAGAAAGAATTCTGAATGTTTCAAAAAAAAAAAAAAATAAGTACATGTCTGCTGTGAAGGAGATGCAAATTATCTTGATTTGATCATTGTATATTACACACAGGAAACAAAATGTCTGTGTACTCCATAAGTGTGTCTAGTTGTCTTAATAAAATAGTCCAAAATCTAGTTTCTTGCTGTATATTCATATAAAGATAAAACAAAGAACTGGAAAGATCAGATGACAGCAATATTGTCACTGATATAGCCCATGTCCCTCACACATGACACTTCCATTTCAATTCTCAGTACTGCTTCCCAGATGTAATTACAACTGAAAAAGGAGTACACCTTAGATTTTTCCTTACTTCTCGAGCTGCTCGTTCTCCAGCTTGGACTGCTCCTTCCATGTAGCCACTCCACTCTGTTGCTGTCTCCGTGCCTGCAAAGTAAATCCTGCCTACTGGCTGGCGAATTACCCTTCAAGGAAAAATAGGAGGTCACACAGATTTACATGGGAAGGTGTTGAGGGGAAATGAGCCAATCACTCATTGCCTTCATCTAGTTCACAAAAGAAGAGCAACCAATCAAGGAAGAAACATCTGTGTGTTTCAAACCCAAAGTAAAAAGCTGTTCTTTGTTTTCTGGGTCTGTGTGCAAAGATCTAAACCTGGGAAAAGCAGACTGTAAGTTTATTAATCATTAAAGGTGATGATGACCTACTTCTGGCCAGTCAGCTTGTGAGAACATGAATTTATTCCTTTAGTAACATTTTATACTCATGTTTCCTGATTGTTGGCCATTTATCTCATTATACTATCTTCTTTGGGGTACAGTTTTACTCAAGATTATACACCAGCCACAGAATCAACCCATGAAACAACTTTTAGGACATCAAGATACTGTGATAGCATGGGGGAAAGTACAAGCACCCTCATTTCTGGTAGAAGAGACGCCACAGGTATTCTGAGTATTTCTCTGATGAGAACTGATAGACTAAGATCAGAAAG